TCCCCATTTCAGTCTGCTGGAGAAAAAAGGAGAAAATCTAAGGGGGTGGGTGGCACTGGCCGCATGATAGCTCTGCCATCAGCTGCTGGAATCCCTGCTTTCCTGCTGGAGAGGCGGGGGGGGGGGGGGGGGGGTTTTTGGGCTTTTTTGGGGGGGAGGGGGGGGGGGGGGATGGTTGTTTTGGGGAGTGGGTGTGTGGGTTGTGGGTGAGTTTTGTGGGGTGTTGGTGGTGTGTGTGTGGGGTAGGTGTGGGTCGGGGTGTGGGGTGTGGGTGGTGTGTGGGGTGTGCGGGGTAGAGGTGCGTGTAGTGGGTATCCTAGGTGGGGATTTGGGGTGAGGAGAGGGGTGGTGTGGGGTGGGGGGGTGCCTACGGCCATACCACCCTGAGAACGCCCGATCTCGTCTGATCTCGGAAGCTCATTTGTAATGTCTTTTGATTTATGGGGTTTATACTGATTTTTTTTCCCTCTTTTTTTTTTCCATTTTAAATATATTTACATTATTTTCTTTTTCTGATTTTTCTTTTCATTTATCCTTTTTTGGGTGGTGTATGGAAAATATTCAGCTCTATCTCAGAGTTTCAGTTTTTTCTTTTTTGAAGGAAACTTTAGGGTTGAGGTGTACGGATTTTGTGCCCTTTTATGGTGGATTTTTTTTCTATGGTTGCTGTGATTCCTGTTTCCTGGCAGGCTGCTCCCCACCGCCTGTTCCTCCATCTCTGACGCTGTTGGGGTGTAGGGGTCACAGCCTGCTCTAGGCGAAGAGCCCGTGGGTGTCTGTGAGGGGCCGTGCCATGCTCTGGAATGCCCACTGCAGGATCCCATCCCAGGTGCCCTGCGGGACAGTCCCAAGGTGGTGGTCAACGCATTCTATTCCAACTCCCTGCCTCACCCACAGCCCCGGTATCACCCTGTGGGTCACAGTAGAGACGTGTCCCCCTGTAGATGGACCCTACCTGCCGGTGTCCCCCCGAGTCCCGTACCTCGCCCAGCAGCACGTCGAGCTCGTCCCTGCTCATCACCGGGTCACTACCGCCAAGGGAGCCGTCCTCTGCCTGCGGGAGGAGACATGTCCAGCTTTCCTGCCTGCCCTCTTCCCTCACCCCTCAGGGTCAGAGCTGGTGACCAGGTTCACCTGGCACAGCCTCATCCTGTGCTCCATGTCCCCTTGGGCTCAGCTTGACTCCAGCTACAGTCGGCCTCGTCCCTCACCCAGCCTGAACCACCATTTACCCCAGCCCCTTTCCCTCCAGCACCGGTTGTACTCACCTTTGCTGGCTGTAGTGGGTGGTCACTGGCCCCTACGGTGCCCTCCAGGCTGCCTGTGTCCGGGGTGCCCGCGCAGGTCATGCAGAGCCGCAGTCCCCTACAGCCGTCCAGGGTGACACAGACCATCAGGGGTGACAAAGGGGGCAGCCCCTCTCCAGGGGAGGATTTAAGGCGGAGGGATGCAGGGGAAGGTGTGGGGGGAACTCACCCGGGGTCCCCGCTGGGCAGGGGGCAGAGTCGGGGTGCAGGGATCTGGGTGTAACAGCGGCCACAGACGCTCCTGTCACCTCTGCCGCGCTGGGTGCCACACGTCTCCTCCCCCGGGGTCTCAGGGGGTCTCTCCACAGCCGCATCTCCCTCCCGCAGCCGGCCCAGCTCGGTTGTACTCGCCACACAGGAGCTGCACCGCCACATCCCGCTGCACAGCCGGAGCAAGGTGGTGAGGGAAACCCCAGAGGGGGGAGCAGGGGGGACACTGGGGTCCCCCCACGGGCTCACCTGGGGACGCGGGGCAGCGGGGGCACCAGGCAGGCGAGGTGGAAGGCCCTGGGGCAACCGTCGCAGCAGATGAGCTCACCACCGTCGCCACACGCCGCACACTCGTCCTCGTTCTCCTGCCCAGGGGTGGGGGGGGGGAACAGGCAGGGGGGTCACTGTCACCCCCCCAGGTGGCACCGACAGCCAGCCGTGGCTGTCCATGCTGGCAGGAGAGCCCATTGCCTCCCCCCTTGCCCTCTACCCCCCTCATCACCCCCATCCCTTCCATGGTCAGGGGTGGGGGGTTGTATCTTGGTGACCCCCCCTCAGTCAACTGAGCCCCAGGGGGCTGGTGGTCCCCCAGGCCGAAGGGACAAGCAATGGACACCTGGGATCAGGGGGTGCCGGCGTGTCGGGGCTCACCTGGTGGGGCGCAGGGTCCTGGCTGTGCATGGTGGGCGCCGGCCGCCGGCCCTGGGGCTGCGCTCGGGGCTCCCCACTCTGCTGGCAGGAGAGGAGAGGGGTCTGGGGGAGCTGTGGGGACAGCCCAGTGTGGGGGGACACCCCCAGGCCATGGGTGTGGGGTGTCAAGGACAGGCAGGGACAGCCCCTTCTGTAAAATTGGGGCGGGGGGGTGTGAAAGCGGGTGGTGGTGTTGGAGGGGAGGGGGGAGTCCTTACGCTTTGGGATGCCTTAGGCCGGGCGGGGGGCTTCAGGCTGCGGGTTCTGCTCCTGGCCCCTGTCTCCTCGCAGGGGGCTGGGGGGTACGGCTCGTCCCCGGCTTTGCTGCCCGTCCGGGAGGTGCCTGCAAGAGAAGCAGCTCTGTGGGGACCCCCATCCTGCCACCCCCATGCCTGGGGGGGGGTGGAGGGGGAGGGAGGAGGGGGGGCTTCTCCCCTGAGAGAATTGGGGGGTAAAATTGCATATGAGGCCAGGCTGCACCTACCCGGCTCCGGCAGGTGTTTGGTGAGGATGCCCTCCGCCGCCCCACGGGTGACGGGCACCTCGCTGCCCGCCACGGCCACCGCTCTCTGCACCGAGGTGGCCATGGCCTGGAGGGCTGTGGGTCAGGGTGAGGGGCAGCTTAGCAGGGCAGGTAGCCCCCCCTCTGCCCCCGAGTGCAGGCAAACAGGGGGGGACAGGCAGATGGTCCCCTGGGGGGGGGTCAGCACTCACCACCAGCATGGGGAGCACGGGGGACATCTCTGCCCTCCGGCTTCTTCACAGCCCTCGCCTTTGCCATGGGGCCTGTGGGGTTGCCGAGGGGTCATGATGGGGGGCACAGCACCCCAACATGCCTCGGGGGAACCCCCCCTCCAAGCATCCCACCCCATCTCCATCCCACTCCCAGTCTCCATACCGGGGCTGGCGGCGTGCCGCGGGGAGGGCTGTGCCACCCGGGCCCCCTCCCGCTCCTCGGGGGCTTTCCTCTTGTTTTGGGGTCTGTGTGGGGCTGGCGCCGTGGGGCTGGGGGAGAGACGCCTGCCTCGGCGCTGCCGCCCCAGCTCCACCTCTGTGAAGGGGACAGGGAGAGGGGACAGGCACAGGTGGCTCTGTGTGTCACCCCTGGTGGTGGGTGCCACTCCATCCTCCCCCCACCATCTTTGTCCACCCCACACTACCTGTGGGGAAGGCGCCACGGAGGGGCCGCAGCCGGCTGTACCGCTCCAGGTTGTAGTCCTTGAAGAGGACGTCCCAGAAGTCACGGAGGGCGGCAGCGTCGCGTCCCAGCAGCCATGTCAGCAGGGCATGGAACGCCCGGTGGGAGCCCTCCCGCTCCGTCCGGCTCAGCGTCTCCTGCCGGTGCCACCGGTGGCCCCCGTTGGGCACCTCGTGTCCCGGTGCCACCAGCTGTGGGGGTTCCCCATGGCACGGTCATCCTTCTCCCACCCCCACCAACCCCACGGCCTCACCTTGAAGACGTGCTCGGGGACGACGTCGTGGTCGGCCAAGCCGTGCAGGAGAGGGAAGACGTCGTCCACCGCCATGGCGATCTCGGTGCGGTGCAGCTTCAGCAGGTGACGCAGGTCCCCCTCGCCCCCCGGCCCCGCCATGCTGCAGGGACGCACAGCCTGACCCCCGACACTCCCCTTTAATACACCGACAGCCGAAACTTCATCAGGCCCCACTCATTTCTGTACGAGGGTAACCTGAGATCATCCCTCTGGCTGCTGGTTGTCCCCGTTGGCACGGCTGGGCTTGTCCCCATGGCACCACCGCAACCCCCGGCCCCCCCGGGGGTCAGGCTGCTCCCCGGTTCCTCAGGGCACCAACAACCGAAGGACACCCAAACCCCGCAGCGACCCCCGTCACGTGCTGGGGGGGCCGCCCATTTCTCTTGTCACCCAAAATTTCTGGACTTTCCACAGCACCTGCTTCTCTCATCCAGAAACTCAGCCACCGGAGCGCGTGGGAAGGAACGCCCCGGTGGCACGGGGGGAGGGAAATGGGAATGTGTTCCCCGGCAAGCTGCCAACCTCCTTCTGTGGGCTGGCTGACACCAAAGAAACCTTAAAAAAAGCGCTTTTTGGGTACACTTAGGGCTGCTGAAGGAGCAAACAGCACCTTCGGAGCATCGCCCCGCCGCCCTCCAGCCTGCCAGAGGGATGGCAGTGCCAGCGGCAAACCCGGGGATTACCCCGGGGTGCTGTCATCACCCAGAAATTGGGCAATAAAGTGATTTCACTGGATGTAGAATCATAGAGTCATCTAGGTTGGAAGAGACCCTTGGAATCATCGAGTCCAACCATCTACCCTACTCTACAAAGTTCTCCCCTACACTATATCCCCCAACACCACATCTAAACGACTCTTAAACACAGCCAGGGATGGTGACTCAACCACTTCCCTGGGCAGCCTATTCCAATGCCCGACCACTCTTTCAGTGAAAAATTCTTTCCTAATGTTCAGTCTAAACTCCCCCTGTTGGAGCTTGAAGCCCTTCCCTCTCGTTCTGTCATTAATTACCTGTGAGAAGAGACCAGCACCAACCTCTCTACAGTGTCCTTTCAAGTAGTTGTAGAGAGTGATGAGGTCTCCCCTCAGCCTCCTCTTCCTCAAACTAAACACTCCCAGCTCCTTCAGCTGCTCCTCATATGATTTGTTTTCCTTCTCCAGCTTCGTTGCCCTCCTCTGCACTCGCTCCAGCACCTCCAGATCTCTCTTGTATTGAGGTGCCCAAAAGTGCCCACAATACTCCAGGTGTGGCCTCACCAGTGCTGAGCACAGGGGCACAATCACCTCCCTACTTCTGCTGGTCACGCTATTTCTAACACAAGCCAGGAAGCCGTTGATTGTCCATAAAGCTGATTGTAAAAAAAACTTGGAGCTGGGGGAAGCCGACTCCCTGGGAGCACCGTAGAAAACTCCGGGGGTTTGGCTGCTCCCTACCAGGTGGTCAGGAAAGAGAAAGCTTCAAAGCTCCTATATCCCCATCCCCAAATGTTTTGGATTTTCCCAGGATTAATTTCCAGCCTCTCTCTCTCTGGGGACGTGTCCCTGCTGCCCAGGAGGCTCAGCCAGGGGTGCGTGGCTGGTGGGGCCAGCACTGGTGTCCCCTGAGCGGGACTGGAAAGGGGTGGGAGAGGGGATGCTCTGCTGCGAGGAGTAAAGCCATAGGGGCAGGAAAGCTCATCAGTAAGTCCTAAAAGACCGGAGCAGTATCCGCTGGCTCCAAAGCTGTGCCAGGAGGAAGCGGCCGCTGTCCAGAAACTCGGGAAGAATAACAAGACAACACCCTCAGAGGAAATACCCTCAGAGGCGTCTGGTTAATAAATCAGCGTCTTTACCACAGAAACGCCTGCCCTGGGGCTCTTTTTGGCATCGGGGGGGTGACTTTTCCCCGTGGAGGCCCCAGGGTGGGGGTCAGACTGTGCCGGGTCCCCGTGCCCCACACACCCAAGATTTCAGTGCTCAGCTCTGCCGTGGCGGGGACCTGATGTACCCCCTTCCTCCAGGGGACAAACCCGTGGAAGAGGAGGTTCATCTCCCCTCCTGGAGCTCCTCTGCAGCGCTGAGCACAGGCAGAGTCATGACACAGCCTCAGATCTGCTCCACCCTTCCCAGGAAAGCCGTTTTCCCTGGGGTCCCACCTGTTTGTCACTGTCACCCTGCCTTAAGCTGTGCCCCTCTCCGTGCCCACCCACCAGGGTGATGGGAGCTCCTTCACAGCCAGGAGCCGCACGCCCCACAGCACCGGGCTTGGACTTGTTTTAAATTCCAACTTTGTGACTCTTTCTGGGCTCTGAATCACCGGCAGATTGTTTTCCACATCCAGCCCACTCAGTAGTGCAGCAACTTGCGTTTTGGGTTGTTTTTTTGGTGTTCCTTCCCTTTCCTACACCCCACAGGCGGCAGAGCAGCAGCTGCCAGGCGCCACGTGAGGATGGACATGCATCCTGGGACACCAGGCATACAACCTCCCTTAGAGCAGACCTCAGCAGCCGTAAGGTACTTGTAAGGGCCATGAAAAGTCAGCTTTGGCTGGCAGAGGGGTGTAAAACCCTCCCTGGAGCCTGGCCATGCTCGGGTTTAGGGGATGCCCTCTCCTTCCTATTGCTCCCCTTGAAGAAATCAGAGCAAAAGGGTTAAGGCAGGTGAGCTCCATCTGAGCTCAAATCTGAGCGCAAAGGCTGTCAAGATGTTTCTCCACAAACTTCTCCACAAAGGCCCAGCTAAATCAACAACTCGACGTCCATCAAAAGCACTTGTAGACCCCGGGACACACCTTCATTCCATCCTCCTGTGAAACCCTCCTGAAGCAAACACTCCCTTCCCAGCATTTCTTCCTTTCCCCTTTCCCTTCCACGCTGAGGTCCCATGGTGCAAACCCCTCGGCCCTGCCTGTCTCTAGGGCACCACTTGCCCCACTCTCATCTCATCCAAGTCCCCGAACCCCAGCTGGGAGAGAACACCCAGAAGCAGGGAACCCACCTACAGGATCCCCCCAGGAAGGCAAGGGTGCCCCCCCTGCCCTGTCTCCCACCTCCACCAAGCCTGACCACACCGACAGCCCAAGCCAAACGCCGCCACCCGCAGAGGTTTCATCCCTCTCCCCTTACCTTCCAGCATTTTTGGGATAAAAGGAGGGCTCCAGGTGGGGCCCTGATCCTAGATCTCAGCTTCCCTACCGCTGCCCCACGCAGTCTGGATGAGAGCGGGTCTACCTGCACGAGCCCGGGAGGCAGAGCTGCAGTAGAGAAGATTTATTTTAGCTTCAGTTTCCTCTTTCCTCCCCCTTTAGAAAGAAGAAACAAAAGCCCAGAAGTATGTTATATTAATTTATTTGGGACACACCAAAAAAGGAAAGTCAACAACTGTTAACGTACAAAAGTACAGAATCCTGGGACAAGATTTACTGTCCTGATTAAAAAGGCACCATGGTCCCAAAAAAAAAAAAAAAGAATAATCAGAATACATCATTTAGAAATTTTCCCCCTGTTGCAGCAGAAACAGAGCCAGGCTTTGGCTCCATCCACAGTCAAACCCAGTTAAAAAAAAAAAAAACAAGTTATGATTTAAATGCGATAAACACTGCTCAGCCTGTACAAGATGTCATGAAAAGAATCACAGCCTAGAAAGGTGGTCGGACTTTTTTTTTTTCTATCTTTTTTTTTTTTTTAAAACAGCGAAGGTGACAAACCACCAAGTGTATGACTGAGGAAGACAGCAGACTCCTGACGTCTTCAGCCTGACTTTCTGTGAGACGCGTCAGTAAAACTGAAACTAGAAGGCTGAGTGTGGGGCTTCTGAATGAAATGTAATTCCCTGTGGCATACAGGAAGTCAGATTCGACCGCCCTGAAATTCCCTGAATCCCTGAAAATCAGAAAAGCACTGTACAGCTGTGTTCCATATTTGAGTCAACCCTGGTGGATTTGCTTTACACACGAGCATTTATACTGTCAGCTATACTTGCAATACAAAGAAGGGGGGGGGGGGGGGTTTACACGA